GAAATTCAGGGAATGATATGGGAAAATGGCATTTGCAAAACAAAATGTTATGAAAACATGTTTCTACTTGAGTTACTCGGTAAATTAAGCAAATATAAAAAATTCATCATGTTAACCAAAAACAGAAGAAGTGACAGAAATGATACAATGAGATAATCTTATTACAGAGACAGAAAAGTTCTCAAAAGAATACATGAGTATTTATTATGCAAACTCTTTAAGCATTATTCTCCTAGCCTCTAATCAGATTGTACATTCTCTTGTGGTTATCCAATAGGGGAATGGATTAAAGAGTATTATCAGCAACATGAGCTAGGTTTAAAAAGGATTTCACTGACATGTGAGCAACCAAGCCTGAAAGTGCATTTATTCTCCTAGCATGCTAGCATAAAGCCTTATTAAAAGAGAAGTATTCATATGTTTTAGAAATTTCAAGGTAGGTTTGCCAAGTGCTTCTGGAAAAAGATAAAATAGTGATGCAAGAATAGGACCTTCACTTGAGGCAGTAATTCCTCGGGTAGCGGCCCTCCTGAGTAGCATATGAATTCAAGAAAAACATCAGCAGCACCAGGATCAAGTCCAGGGTCAAGAATTATCTTTACTAGTTCATCTGTCACTTGGGATTTGTCATAGTAACACTGAGGAGATCCATGGGAATCAGAAATTACACAACTGGAGAACGATATCATAATCTCCAACACAAATTGAAGAAAAAAAAAATAAAATGACATAATGCTAGTTTCCTACTAGTTATTTCCATGTATAAAATAAGTTATTCAGCACTTCTTGTTTCATACTAGTTTCCTTGAAACAATATTCTTCTGAAATAGCATATCGAAATTGATAAACTATATGAAAATAACCATTTTTTTGTCATGAAACAATAAAGATGCCGGAACATTTCTTGTTGATACATTTAAGCATGAAATACACAATCCAGTAGGTGAAAGAGAGTGCAACATATCCGACATCACAGTTTTTTACCTGACGAAGAATGTTCCTCACTGACTCTGGTGTAGCAACAGTTTTGAAAAAGAATTTTCCAAGAGCAGTATTCCTGGAGACACCAGAAAAGGGGCAAAACTGTCCGAATGACCAACCAGACATACATCAGAAAAGTTAAAGTTAAATTTTAAGAAACAAAAATTGAAATCCACCTCAGCAAATTCTGGAATGATTTTATTAGAGGCCTTCCATACCACGGCTGTTTTGTTATGTGTAACATACGAAGAGATATATTCAAGAGAATAATGCCTTTGCAAAGTGCAGGATCCATGACAGCTGCCTGAAGTCCCACAATTCCTGCATTTCTAACCATCAAGAGATCCTCTATGTTCCATAAAGATTACATATTCAAAAGGTAGAGAGCAAATATGAACATATTGTCGGAAACAAGTGCTTACCTTGCATGCTTGAATCCTAAATCCATCAACCTCATAAATAAAATTAAAATCTCATTTTACCCCATAATGGCCTCTTCCCGATTCTTTGTTCATACAAACATTCTGTAAAAAGACTCAAACTGGGGCTGAAATAGACATCTTATATCTAAAGTGAATTGCATTAATATATGGAGAGTAACACAACATTGAATTACATACTATACAGAATGTTAATCTACAAAGCACGCTCAGAAGTTCAACTCTTGAATAATGTGATTACAAAAATACAAGTTCCTCCGAAAGTTCTCCTATTCGAAGTCTTTATCAATTCCCTCCTGAGAAACTGTACTTGTATCTATGGCCATGCATGCATGAAATAGTTCAGTTGGTCCCTAGAAATTTAGTATGTCCATTGCTTTATTATTTGGAGCTGCATTTATTGTATTATATTATATTCCTTCTATTGTATTCAATCATCATATTTTACTGGCTCTCTCCCTTTAACCTTCCTGGATAATTATTCGGTACTTATTAATCATTGCGAGAAACCAGATTGAGAGAAATACATAAACTTGTGTATTTGTACTTCATCAATTATTATTCTTCTAATCTCAATGTATCATTTCCAAGCAAACCATGAGGATATCCAGAAAAGAATAAAATAGAGGAACTTCATTACAGAATATACAGAAGGTAAAAATTCATTTCAAAGGTTTTCATTTGTTATCAATTATGACCTATAAAGAAAACAAAACTTACTATTAAGTGATACTGGAGCTATATATTTGAATCCCAGTAAACACTATTCAGTTAAAGATAAAGTAGTCACCTCCTATAGAATTGCAGACAAAGAAGGCTTGATCCTTCACAATTTCCACACAGAAGTCATTTAGCTGGCTGGCCCATGTGTCAAAAGTATAAAAACTTTTAACTTGAAGCTTTTGTGGATTAGGTTTGTCTGAATAACCATATCCAATGAGATCAATTGCGTACACCCTATGTGACTGTGCAAGAACTGGTAAATTCTTCCTCCAGTGGTCACTGGTAAGATGATGGGAGACAAAATTTTATCCAATTTAACTAAATCTTCAAGATTTAGTATGATCTCTCAGTGTATGCTCATGCAATGAAATATATGTCAAGTCCTTCACAATCTTATGCAAATGAAGGACCAGACCAATATTTAATGACCAAGTACAATGTCCTAAAACTAGTGGTTGATAAGAGTTTAAATGTTTCTAAACAAATGTTAAGCTAAAAAATCAGCTATGGTCATCACAAAATAAATTGCTTAACCAAAATGAAACAGAAATATTTTCTTATATCCTGTTCCTATCATTTTAAAATCTTGTACTGTATCTAAAAACTTGTATACTTTGCCGATAATATATGTCGCATCTTAAAAGCTAACTTGCCAAAAATACATATCTATTAACCTGCAAGTGTCTTATTTATGCTTTAATCATGCTAATACTTGAACCTCATGATAAAACCGACTAATAATGATATCAGAACACAAAAGCATACACAAAATGCATAAGTTCCTGTTGCTATTCATTAATTGTGATATGTACCTAACTACAAAGTTGCGTTGAAGCAAATTTGAAGCAATGTAGACCTGTTTGCTCCGAAACCATGAACCAAGACCAAGGAAGGCCCGCCACTTCCAGAATACTTGTAACGAATAGAATAACCTCTCCATTTCCATTCACTGATAAGCAAAACATAGGACAAAATGATCATCATTGTCCCATAACAAAAGTTTGTTCTATAAAACAAATTACCGGGGTCTACTACCAGAGATTCGATGTGTAATATAATTTCAGCATTCATTGTGTATTTCATCAATGATCCAATTTCCCAATTAAGAACTCCATTTTTAATGGAGGGGAAAAGAAGCAGAACCTAAGTATAGTCATGCATCAGAGCTTCTACAGGTACTTGACTGTACATTATCTTAAATATTCTCCAAATACATATTCTTTACATAAAATGAACTACTAATAGTAACAACACCAAAAAGGTATTAGTGAACAAAAGTCAAGATTCAATTTTTACAAAGTAGCATGAAAATCTTCGGTTAGCTTACATTACATAATATACGACTGCAAATGAAAACTAAAACCAATCATTGAACTATCAGAGTTCGTTTGTCCAGATAATCAAGAATTTAAACTTCCCGACTAATGAATGCTACTTTGATAAATTTCCTTTCTCTCAGATAAAGTGATATAAGTTCCTATAAAGGACCATCTTTGAATCTTCCTCACCAGCAACATCTCAACTTTCCACAATGTCACCAGAGACTCCAGTTTTTTCTTAAAGCCCATCTCTTACAAGGAAATGTATCTCAATCGGAGGCATTACGGAAATTTGATTACCAGGAACCATGAACTAATTAACAATGCAACAGAAACTACGTATATTTGATCGCAAGCACGGAGCACATGATATCAAAATTCATCATGACAGTTTTTCCTACAAACCACAATCAAGTTTAATTACAAATCAGTACTTTCTCCTAGCTGTCCCAAAGCTCTGATGTGCAACAGAAACAATAAAAGCATCAACAGTGTCCTCAACAACGCAAAAGCAAAGTTGCTGCCTCATCTAATTCTGGGTAATTGGACAAAAACGCATAAATTTAAAAAAAAAATCATAAAATACTGTTACCCAGTTTTAGTTTCATGTTGGGCTGCACTTCCACTTGTTTTTGCATCATCAACAGAAAAGTCATCCACCGCTGAACTTGTTGCTGAAAAAACATAATTACGCCTCGAGAAAGTGAACCCAGAGTACGTTCGAGGAATCACGAATCCCTGGGAAAGATGAAAACCCCTGCTCGTTGATAAACGTGAGGGTGAGTAGTTGTGGGTTATCTTATGGGACAATGGAGCTGAGCAGCTGAGCTTGGACATGGCCATCGTTGGGCAATTACAGGTCGCCATATGCGTTTGAGGTGGAGAATTTCGAGTCCGTTGCAAATCTACTAATAAAGTGGGATTAGAGGTGGAATATGGCGCCACTTGGATGAGACATTGGGATTTATTCATACTGCTAAGTTAAAAACGTACTAGAACTGAATCTGGCATCCTTTATATTTTTGTTCAATAATTTTTTTATTATTTTATAATTTTATAAACAAAAAATATGTGTGAACATTTTCATTTCATTTATGTAGTATTTGATCTATCTATTAATATATAAAGAGGCAAATATAAATAATCCGATAATAGTAACTAAAAAATCATCTAAAATTCCTTAAATATATTACTAAACATAGTAAATTATTTTGAAAAAATTCGCAATATGCCGCTTCTTTGAATTGTTTGAATTTTTCGAAAATGCGATATATTTAGTCAGTATCCCAAATCTTCATTTGTCCTTGGATAAGCCAAAAAAAATATATATATATATATTAAGTAAATCTGCATTAATTAACTAATCTGCACGTGGTCGGTATTTTTTAACTGCTTAACGAAAAACATGCTCTTATTTTCCAACTAACAATTCATAGATATAGATCGGTTAATTTATTAATTATTGAAATAAATGTCTTATCATGTACAGATTTGTGAAAACAAAACTCTTATACGTGTTTATTTTTAATAATATCAAAGAAATCAACAACTCGCGTGTGAATATGAATAATAGAGTTGTCTACATCAAATTGCCACCACAACCTACGCAGAATTCATTTCAAACATTCCGATTCTCACAAATCAAGTTTCATAATGTATAAGTCATGGAGCCTTATTAAGGATGAAGAGGAGTAAGAGACAAATGATGAAGCTTCGGGCCATCTGCATTTTCGAACGAAGTTTCAATGCCTCCTACCGAAACTACTTGGAAATAGTGTTTTATGACACGAAGGTTTGATTTCTATTTTACATTAACTATCCCCTCTATATATAATTTCAGAATGCGCTGAACCTACGTGGCAAACTCTCATGCTTCGTAATCTTATTTGGCAAAAAACTATGTTTTGGAGTTAGGCTTGGATATAAATTAATATTTTTTATCACACCAAACCCATGATTGATGTTTTCCTTCTTTACTTCTACAATTAGTTGGCATAAACTATTTTATATTTCATTTTCCTACATTACCATACATCACATTTCATTTTTTTTTTATATAATTCATTCATTAGTTTTTATAAATGTTTCTTCTTCTTATTTTAAGATTTTATAACTTTTTTGTTTGTATTTTATTTTTCATATATGATATATCAAATTAACTATCTTTTAACGATTTTTTATTTGACTTCCATATTATATATTTAAAATACAAAACAGTAATATACATCCTTATAAATAAAATTTAAATGTATTTATCAAACTAAATTAAATTATATCAAATAAAACTATAAATTTTATTATAAAGTAATAGAAATTGGTATGTATTCTTTTAAAAATGATATTTATTTCAAATCTAATTGGTATGTTGTCAATCTAATAAAAATAAATAATTCTTTATTTAAATTCTAAATTACATATAAAGTTAAGAAACTGTGAAGCACGACTGATACGACACTTGATGTATTAGGCATCTAATTAAGTAAAAAAATTAATCTATTTTGCTTAATATTAAATAAATATATTCTACACTTTTGCATATACATATCACCATATTATTTCTATTTATTTAAGATATATATTTTTTGTACTTATGTAATAGTAAATAATATCGATATTTTTATATGATATAAGTAAAAAATTCAACAGGGGTTGACATTTTCATTTAATGTATGGGTGTTTATTTATTATCATTAAAAAATATAATTTGACAATTTAATTATGACCCAAAGTAATGTGATTAAAAAATATAATTTGACAATTTAATTAAGACTCAAAGTAATGTTTTTATACAAAACTAAATTATTTTAATTTTAAAAAAAATAAAAATTTTAATATTTTTACAAAAGCTTTCTAATTCAACACCTGTGTAATACACGGGTATTGTACTAGTAAAAGATTATTTGTAATTATACAATCTATGCAAATGAACAAATTTCGTTGACATTTTATTCATTGTTAAATGTATGTATAGGGCGGCCACATAATCAGTTTGATTCGAGGAGTTAACTTAACTACTCTAGGTGACAAGTTTGAAGTGGGAAAAGTGAACGCCATTTGAACTACAAAGTTGAATCTAATATTGGTAAATATAGGTCAACAACTGCGTCGTACACATTCACGGCAAAACTGACGTATTGGAGTACTATGGCAACTTTCCAATTTTCCGATTTGATTTTTGCAATTTTGTCACCCTTCAAGATTGTGACAATTTGGACAAGTCTATTTTTTTCTGTTTTCTTGTAAGTGTACATACATCTTATTCAACATTATAACTTATTTTTCTTATATTTCTATAATGTAACTAATTAACATCAATTTTAGATGTTATTAGAATGGTATTTGATGTGCAATATGTTCAGTTAATAATTTTTCGTGGAGAACCTACTCAAATGATCCACTGTTCTTTAATGGACGTTGCGTAAGTAATAATTTTTTTTTTTATGTTTGTCTAACTACAACAATATTGTTTTAAAACTGCGTGCTTTATTATTCATATAAACTGCACGCAACATTACAAATTTAAAATTATAATTTGCTTCTNTTTTGGTCTAATTACAACACGATTTGTATGAAAATGCACGTGATATATTATAGATATAAACTACAAGTTATAGATACATATAATGTTGTAATTTACTTTAATACTTTTTTTTTCTGTTTGTCTAATAACATCATGATTTTTATAAAACTGCACACATATTATATAAGTGGCATGATATCTTATCCATATAAAGCTGTAATTTTTCATTTTTGACTAACTACAGTCTATGGTAGAATTTTTATATAAAAATACCGCACACATATTTTATATAATATTGTAATTTTTATAAAACTGCACACATATTATATATACAAACAGAACGCTGCTAATACATATAAATTTGTAATTTGTTTTTATGCATTCATTTTTCTTTTTGTGTAACTACAGTAGAATTTTCAAGAAAACTGCGTACTATTATATATATAAACTACAGGCTATTTTATACATATAATGTTGTACTTTGCTTTAATGCTTTTGTTTTTTTATGGGCCCTTTCTCGATCAAAGTCTTTGAAAGCGCACTTCAACTTCCCCAAGCATGGTGCAGCTCCAATTCTTCACATTTCTCTAGCTCTAGGGAAATCTTCGACAAATCAGGCAAACCCCATTGCTTTAGGGGTTGATGCTTGCGCCCGGGCAAGACCGTCGAGTCACTAGCCTTCTCGACTGCCCCCGAGCTAACCCCGACTGTCGAGCCGAACTCCAAAACCGACAAAGCTCCTGATGCTTCTCAGTAGTCTTTTGTAATTTATTGTTGTATTTTTCCTTGTGAACTTTTGTTGTATAAACCACCTTGTAACCTCCTTTTTGTTATTTAATGGATTATTAATTTTTTTTTTCCTTTTTCGTGCTCGTGTTGTTAATCGACCTACCATTAAGGTCTTATATGATTACCATAAAAATCTTCCACGTAAAATTATACTAAGTGAATTACCAATTTGATCGAACCACTGAGGTCTCCAAAACTAAACCCACAGTAAAATGTTGAGTAATAAAAACTACGTCAAGTGAATTATCTTTTTTATCGACTTGCAACTGAGGTATCCACAACTGGATCCACACTTGAAAATTATTAAACTTCGATCTTGGAATCCTTATGGTTAATCGGCCTCCCGCTGAGGTTGTAAAATTTGATATATCGATATGCGTCTCCCCCCTTTTGAGGTCGATCCATCATCTAGGTGTAGAACTTGGTTTTTTGCCTTCCAATTTTCTGCGACCCAGCTCTAAACTCGACCGCCCAGCCCGAAATTCTTAGTCATGGTGGGTTTTTTGAACACTTGCCCAACTCGCCACTGAGGTCGTTCAAACAAGCGACCACCCAGCTCCTCCGCCACTGCTAACCGCAATCCTTTTATCAAGGCCTCATACTCCGCCTCATTGTTCAACACCCTGAATCCCAACTTGGTCGCAAACTCAAATTCATATTAAAAAATAATTTAAATATTTATTTAAAAATCATATCCATTTTACCAGCTTGACCGACTGGTGTTGATCGGTTCGCTAACAGATATTTTATTCAAAGAATCAATCCGATCGATAAACTGTTCCCCCGTTCATTCGATTGGACTGTCTGGTCTAGTCCGATCCAATTTTAAAAACAATAGATAAACTATGATTAATGTTATTTATATATTTAATGTTAATATAATCATAATATTATTTTCACATGCACCACGCTTCATATAAATACAAGTTTTGAGAAAGATCTATAGATCTAGTAGAAGATCCACTCTAATTTCTGAGTTTACATATAATTTAACTTATAATTTTGGTTTTATGTACTTTTTTTTTTTTTTNTTTGGATCTTTGTTTAATCTTTAACCTATTTTTCGTATTTGATGTGCCAAAAAGTTATTTATCTAGAAATTATGTAATTTAAGTGTCTGTGTTAATTCAATAACTATTCACTAAAGAATTATTTGCCAAATTGAATTATGTTACTAGTATTTCAAACAGATGACACAACTAAATTGAAAAAATTGATCGCAAACAATTATTTGTTAAATTGAATTATGTTGTGTCATTTACCAGTATTTCAAAGTGATGTCACACAACTAATTTGATAGATTAATGACGGGTTTAAAAGCCCCCTGTATTATACGAAATCTGCGCGTTTCCTCCCTGTATTTTAAAAATTGCGTCAGACCATCTTCTATTAAGGTTTTGTATGCGTGAAACACCCAAAATCGTCTAAATTTTGGGTGTTTCGCGCATACAAAACCTTAATAGAAGGGGGTCTGACGCAATTTTTAAAATATAGAGGGGAAACGCGCAGATTTCGTATAATACAAGGGGGTCTTGTATATTTTACCCGATTAATGACAAACATCGTAGTATTTCAAAGTGAGTACACACAACTAATTTGATAGATTAATTGTAAAAATAGCACATCGATACTGTAGCAAATTCGATCATTTTATTTTATTTTATTTTCTCCCCAATGAGGGTCCTAATAATTTCATGAACCACATTGATCCTGTGACGCCTAGAATCAAACGGCTCAAAGGACGTAGACCTGTAAAAAAGACAAAAATGCCCTTGTAACTGTAATCGGCTAAAAGCACACTCATATTTGGATGCATGCCCTTTACATTCACTTTCGCTATTAAATGAAAATTATTATCAAGAAAACGAAAAAGAGAAAAACTCAGCATATTTTGTCAGCTTTAGCTCACGCCACTCACACCACCCTTCTGCTCATATAACGACACCCACACATCATTGAGTACTGTGTGAAGGACTCTGTGTACTTACTTCCCTTCTCTCTCACGCCCCACCATCGAATCAAATCCTAGTTCCAGTGAAAAATGTGATTTGAAAGTCATATACATGTTTTTGTGGTTCAAAACGGTTTCGTTTAACGTGAAAAAGCCTCACTTTCACCCTCACTGTGTGTTGTTGTTGGTGGGTAATCTTGTTTGTGAAATATCTGTTGTGGTTCATGAGCAAAAGTGCTTTACAGGAAGGTAATTTCAATGGCTTTCAACTTTTGCCTGTATTTTTCCTTCTATTTCTGCCTCCTAACTAGCCAAAGCCAATCCTTCTAAATTTAAAGTTTTAAACCTTTGATTTCTCTTCATTTAACTCATTTTTTCTTCTTTTTTCCTTTTGATTTCCAGTCGGGCAATAAATTCTTGTTAAGCCCCTTGTGGCAAAATTGGTTCTTGCTGAACTCTAGAAAACAGGTAGTTTTTACATGTACATACGTTTTCGTTTCTTGTGTTTTTATTTCCTGGATTTTGTATGTTTAATTAAAGAATAGCAGGTCTCAACCAATCATTTTCATTTTGGGCTTTTATTTGTGGGATTAGTGCATGCTGACAGGCATATAAATATTCTGGGTTGATAGGACTTGAATTTGTTAATTGGCATGAATGAAAATCTGTCTCGATTTCTATGCCAATCTGTGGCTAAAGAATATGAAAGTTGGCAGCTTTTTCCCTGTTTCGATTTCTTCTCTGTCGACCCCTCACAGGCAACGCAGACAAAAGTTGTTTTCATTAATTTATTCAAAACCCATCAGATTTTTGTTTTGTCCACTATTTTTTTCTTTACCTTTCTCCTCTCAAGTCTTTTCTTTTCCAAACCCTATTAGTGCATATGTATATATAATATATGTGACTGCTCTACTGCCACCTTGTTCAAGAACCACATTGTTTTCAGCTCAAAGATTTGTCTTCTGAAATAATTTTAGTTTTCTCGTGTATCTTTGAAGTACAATTATTTTTACTATGAACTATTTACTTTCCCTGTTTCCATTTTTTTTTTTTTTTNTCCCTTAGAGCTTATATAGAGCACTGTGACATTTTATAGTTTGTTTGCATTTTAAACTTTCTGCTGCTGTGAGAGGTGAATACCTCACTTGTTTGTACTTGTGCCAGATTACCAGTAATGTCGGATAAAGTATAAGTATCAGTTCACCTGTGATTAACTCCAGCATATGTAGCTTTCTCTAGTTTCTCATTTAGTTATAACTTATAAGTGACTTTTCTCTTGCAATTATATAATTTAGTCTCTTCTTTTCTTTGTAATGCTAGTAATCAAACTCATCTTTGTTTAGGTGTTCACAATCATTATACTGGTGTCTAATACTTTTACCTTCTGTTTATCTTGAATTACATACACAAAGTCTAGTTTGTTCAATTTAATACATATATTTGGATAGAGAATCATTTGAACTCATTTTTATTTCCCTAGCAGTGTCATCTTCAGCAAGTACAGAAATAAAAAGGTTGTGCTTCTTAATCATGCATAGAATGGCAAAACGACTTCCGAAACAGAAATTCTCTTGCATCCTCTTACTCTCTGTACTCGTCTGCTTCTGTCATATTTCACCACTATCCAAAGGAGAGAATCTGATTGATAACACACCACTGTTGATGGCGCTTAGAGACTCATTTATCGATAAACGAGAAGCCATTTCTAGTTGGTTCAGCTCCAAGACTTCTTCTCCATGCAATTGGACTGGAATACAATGTGAAGGTCTATTAGTGAACCAAATTGACTTGTCATTCACAAAATCACCTCTGAATCTTCCATTTCCTCGTATTATTACTCAGTTCACGTCCCTTAAGCTCCTTAATCTCAGCAAATGTGGCTTTACTGGTGAGATTTTTCCGAACCTCTGGGATTTGGAGAATTTGGAGGTCCTTGATCTTAGTGAAAACAAATTATCAGGAACACTACCTGACAGTATAGGTAATCTGAAGTGCATTAAACAACTTATTCTCGACGAAAACAATTTTTCAGGCAGGTTACCTTCTACAATCGGTCGACTTACAGAGCTTCGCGAACTCTCTCTACATTCGAACTCATTTTCCAAAAATCTCCCAGAAGAAATTGGATTCTTAAATCAAATGCAGTCAGTAGACATAAGTAACAACATCTTCTCCGGAACTCTCCCAGCAAGTTTCGGCAATCTCACGAGGCTCTTATTCTTCACTGCTCGACAGAACAGATTTACTGGTCCTCTGTTACCTGGCATTAGAAAACTGAGGAAGCTTCAAATTCTAGACCTTTCTTTCAATTCCTTTTCCGGAACAACTATACCGTCCGCGATGGGAGAATTGAAAGGTCTCAGGGTACTTAATCTCCAAAGCTCCGGATTTTCCGGAAGTGTTCCGGAAGAAATCTCGAAGTTGAGGAGCTTGACTTATCTGAACTTGGCACATAATGATTTTAATGGAGAACTGCCTTCGAGTATCGGGAGATTAGTTAATCTTGTTTACCTCATTGCTTCAAACTCCGGGCTAGAAGGACAAATACCCTCTGAGTTAGGCAGCTGCCTGAAGCTCAAAACTATTGATTTGTCTTTCAATTCATTTAGCGGCCCATTACCCGACAGCCTGGCACGGTTAGTTTCGATAAACTCGATCAACCTCAACACAAACCGTTTTTCTGGTCCTTTTCCTGCATGGATTTCAAACTGGAAGCAAGTTCAATCTCTGATTATCTCACAGAACTTGTTCAGTGGGCCCTTGTCACCACTTAACCTCCCTTCACTGTCGCTTTTGGATGCAAGTGCTAACATGCTGTCAGGCGAGCTTCCTGCTGACATATGCAACGCCACGTCACTAAACACTCTTTTGTTGTCCCACAACAACTTTTCCGGCACTATTGCGAATGCTTTCAAGGACTGTCTGAACCTCGTGGACTTAATCCTGTCTGAAAATAATATCTCTGGAGAAATACCAAGCTACTTCGGAAAACTTCAGCTAATAAACTTGGAATTATCGAAGAACAGACTCTCTGGCGTGATTCCAGATCAGCTCTGGGAGTCAAAAACGCTTTTGGCAATCTCATTGGATGATAATTTGCTCCAAGGCACATTATCAGATGAAGTTGCGAAAATCTCGACGCTCGAGAGGTTGAAACTGGACAATAATTTATTCAGAGGAAGCATTCCAGCTGGCATTGGAAAGCTCAAGAATCTTACTAATCTGTCCCTGCATGGGAATAAGCTATCTGGATACATACCGTTTGAGCTTTTCGAGTGCAAAAAGCTCGTTTCTGTGGATTTGGGCGCAAATGAACTCGTGGGCAAAATCCCAAAATCGATATCTGAATGGAAATTGCTCGACAACTTAGTTCTCTCGAATAACAAACTTTCTGGTCCATTACCTGAGGAGATATGCTCTGGTTTTCAGATAGTTCCTTTGCCGGACTCTGAGTATGTCCAGCATTATGGGTTGCTTGATTTGTCTTATAATGAACTTGAGGGCCCAATTCCTCATGCAATCGGGCATTGCTTTGTCGTGAAAGAAATTCGTTTGCAGGGAAATAAGCTTAACGGGAGCATTCCTGACGAGTTAGCATCACTCCCGAATTTAACCTTGATCAACCTTTCGTTCAACTTTTTATCAGGTCCGGTTTTTCCTCGGCTATTCTCGATGATGAACCTTCAAGGACTAATACTCTCGCATAATCGGTTAGAAGGCTTAATTCCTGATAAAAGCTGGTCAAGAGTATCGAGTCTAGCCAAACTTGACCTGTCGAGTAACTGCTTCACAGGTCCACTGCCACCTTCTCTATTTAGCTTCAAAAGTATGACATATTTGGATGTCAGCAAGAATTCCCTTTCGGGCAATATAAACATCGACGACATCAACTGCACGAGTACACTCTTGGTTCTGAACGCGAGCAACAACGAGTTAAACGGCATAATCGATGACTCTATCTCGAATCTTGCATCTCTATCCGTTTTAGACCTTCACAACAACATGCTCAACGGACGCGTACCAGAATCGCTCTCCAGCCTTGCTGACTTGACTTATCTCGATATATCGGCAAACGATTTTCGCGACACCTTTCCCTGCAACATATGTTCAATACAAGGCCTCATGTTTGCCAATTTCTCTGCAAACAGCTTCACTGGTGGTGGTCATGAAAATTGTTTGTCGAGAAATGCTTCGCCGTGTACTATAAACCCCACATTTCTTCCCAAGAGGCATATCTCCATGTCTAGTTTTATTCTAACCCGCGCTTCACTCTTTGGCATTGCATTCGGCAGCATAGCTGTTTTTGTCGTTCTACTGATTAGTCTCGTCCGAAAATGCAACAACACTCAAAACCAAGACGTTTTATCTAAGCAGGTTACGACTTCAAGTGAGCCGACATCCCGTGAGGGCCTTCTGGGAAAGAAAAAAACAAAGGAGCCCCCGAGCATAAATATCGCGACTTTCGAGCACTCTCTGTTGAGGTTAAAACCGTCCGATATCTCGTCAGCCACCGAAAATTTCAGCAAGAGCTACATAATCGGGGACGGCGGTTTCGGCACAGTGTACAAAGCTTCTTTACCAAACGGACATATATTAGCCGTGAAAAGGCTCAACGGCGGCCACTTGCACGGCGAACGCGAATTTCTCGCCGAAATGGAAACTATCGGCAAAGTCAAGCACAAAAACTTGGTCCCACTTCTCGGCTACTGCGCGTTTTCGGACGAGAGGCTCTTGATTTACGAGTACATGGAAAACGGGAGCCTCGACTTCTGGTTGACAGGCATGGACGAATTTACATGTATTAATATTTTAATTTTTTTTTACTATTAATATTAAAAATTTTAATTTGTTCCCGCTTTAAATTTATTTTTGCACCCCCAGATTTTTTGTTTTTAAACGTCACTCACCAGGCTAACTTGTCCACAGTTGTCAATTAACAATTCAACACTTTTTTTATTTTACTATTAATTTTGTATATTAATTATTATCATTCTACAATTTTAATTGGCCAATATAAAAGACTTCCATTCTCTTTTATTGCCCAGGCTAGGGCAAGTATTTTTTGACTGAAAATCGAAAATCGAATCGAACCGAACCGAACCGACTTATGTGTAACGGTAACCGAAAATCGATTACCGAAATGTTATCGGTTCGGTATCGGTTCTGAACTCATTAGGGTTCGATTACCCATTATGTCATGTCTTTTGCCTTCTCTCAACTAATTTTCTAGTTTCGCCCATGCTGACAGGTGTCGGGTGTCTCGACTGGCCGACACGTTTCAAGATCTGTCTTGGGTCGGCCCGCGGGCTCGCCTTTCTGCACCACGGTTTTTTCCCTCACATAATCCACAGAGACATCAAATCGAGCAATATACTCCTCGACACAAATTTCGATGCGCGCGTGTCGGATTTCGGGCTTGCGCGTATAATAAGCGCTTGTGAGAGCCATGTGTCGACTTTTCTTGCAGGGACTTTCGGTTATATACCGCCGGAGTACGGGCAAACAATGGTGGCCACGACTAAAGGGGATGTGTATAGTTTTGGGGTTGTGATGCTGGAGTTAGTGACTGGGAGAGCTGCGGTTGGGCAGGCTGACGTGGAAGGAGGGAATTTAGTCGGGTGGGTTAGGTGGATGGTTGAGAATGGGAGGGAGGATAAAATTGTCGACCCGTGTTTTTCGGAGTTAGTTTTGTGGAAGGAACAGATTTCGCGCGTGCTTTCGATTGCGAGGTCGTGCACGAGTGACGAGGCGCGGAGGAGGCCGGCCATGTCTGAGGTTGTTAGGCAGTTGAAGGAGGCAGAGGTTGTGATGAGGTAAATCAGGTAAAAAGGTTTTAAGACATTCTGTTGTGTTGTGCTGTTGTTGATCAGGTGTGTGTGTGTGTGTGTGAATGTGTTTGAGGACAAGAATTGAAAACTTTAGTGATGTAGCTATTTGACAATATGTTGTTGTGTTTTGAGTTTGTTTAAGGTCAATGTGATGGGACCTCTCAGAAGAAACTCAGTTATGACTGCATGCATGGTGTTGTTGAATTGAAGCACTATTTGTTTTGATGAGTTGGGAGGAGTGACTGCAGGGGAAGGGTAACCTGATAACTGAAAGACTAAATAATAGCTAGACTAGACATGGCCGCGGGCCGAACCGGCCCGCGACCCGAACCGTTGTGCTACAAAATTTTTAATATTGTTCTATATTCTATAAGGTTTTATATTTGTTTTCTGCTATGTTGACTATGAAATTGAGGTACAATTGCACCAACTCACTCGAATTTTTTTTAGACATGGTCCTGTTTTATACAAGCTAATATATTTTTTTCTGGTATGTTAATTTTGAGACCGAGATGCTACCTTACTATACAATTCTACAAACTCACTCAGGATTGCTCTAAACACAAGACGAAGTATCACAATTTCTTGTTATCCTATGGTATGCAATTTTGGATAAAATATAAATTGCACTTAATACACTGTACATGCTAGCTCAGCACACAATTGTTACAATTTATATCATGGACCAGTATGTAAGGTCTCAACCCACAATTGCTATATAGTGAACTATACCTGTATATACTATATGACACTTGAAAAAAATTGATACTTTTACCCAAAAATAAATAATAGTAGTTATATTCTTATTGCTGAATTATAAATAATAAAGAACTAACAAAGTGATATTAGTTAACATGAAACCCGTATTCTACACTTAATTTGTAAAAAATAATAATTGTTAATTATCTTTATTAATTATATGTATCCAAATCAAATGTTATCTACAATACCATTAATTTGATTTTGAATTTTTCATTTTCTTAAAAGCCTTAGTATTGTAATGACTGATTTCTCATGTATTAATTTTTAAGTATATTAAATTTATAATATTAGATGATTTAAAATATAACTTAATATACAAAAACGTGATATTCATTTGTATTTTTTATTTACAACATCAAAATAACATTCAAACTTTATATATAGTTTATTTAAATGAAGACATAATATTTTGAATAATTTTATATTCACTTTTTATTAACACCCAATTCCTACATATAATTTACTAAAATGGTTGTTTATGATATATTAATAAATTTATTTTTTGTTATTTAATGGACAAATTTGTAGTTTTATTTAGTATTTCTCATTTAGTATGATAAATAATTTAAGTTTTATTTATAAATAAATATGAAATTATTTTAAATTATATATGGAATATGGGCACCAAATTAACAATCGTTAAAAAATGGTTATTTTGATATATCATATCTGAAAAAAAATAATATATTTTTTAAAAAATAAGGAGGATAAATATTCATAATAATTAGTATATGAATTAAACAAGAAAACAAATGTAGTGTATGGTAATCAATAAAAAGGAAAGGTAGTATATGAAAATTTAAGAAAAGGAAAGATAAAACAACTTTATGGTAATTTCCAATCCTAACTGTTAAACCAAGTCTTTATATGTGTCAATACCAAACACAAATTTATGTCAAATAAATTTTCGAAGTATGCGAACATGTCATTTAGGCTCAGTACATTCGAAAATTTATATGAGGATGATGATGCACATTGTAAGATGATCCTACCAGCTGATTTATACTTCACAGTACCAATAAATACATCACCAAATATAAATCACATAAAAAATATCACAAATCATCACTGCAAATATGCTTCAAGGGTTGTTATCGAATCGAACATTCGCGAACGAAAGCTCGTTCTAGTTCGTTCGTTTTCGATAATAGCTCATTTGTTTAATAGTCGATCTGAACTAGAACATGGAATTATGCTCATAATTATCGACCGAACACGACTAAGTTCGACAAGCATTCGCTAAAGAATGGTTGTATAATATATATTATATATTATATATGATATATCAAACATTAAATAATAGTAACTTTGATATAGGATATAGTATCGGCTCAAACCTCCCAAGGAAACCAATGGTGGCCTACTGAGAAAAGAGCTCAGCTAGTAGATAAGCCCCCAGTCGACTCGACCTCAGAAAATCAGGAGGTCGAGTCAACCACATTCTACCTAACTGATAGATGAGTTGGCGAGGACCACGTTCTACCAAAATTGATGTTATATCAAGTGACGTGGATTTGGTCTCATAGGGGGACAAAATGGCATCTAACATGGAAACAACGCCATACGAGGATTGGACCACGCGTTGCAATAAGGTTGGGTCGTCTGCACCCCTGACACCTGACAGTCTGAGGCGTTGCAGGACGTATGGACGGGCAGTAGGGGCAGCCGGGACAACTTTTCTGGCAGAGTTGGGGAACAAGACACCACCTTCCTATATAAAGAGGTGTGGTAGGTTAGTTTGGGGGTTACATTCTCTATATACTCACTTTATGTAGAGATTACTGTTCATTATCTTCATTTTCGTACTGACTTAAGAATCAGAAGCTCTTCACCGGAAAGGGCGGAAAGATCCCTTTCCGGCGTTATATTTTTCTACATTCTCTAAGGTTGTGCTACAAAAACTTTTATATTGTTTTATATTCTATAAGGTTTTATATTTGTTTTCTGCTATGTTAACTATGAGATTGAGGTACTACACAATTCCATCAACTCACTCAAATTTTCTTTAGACATGGTTATGTTTTACACAAGCTTTAATATTTGTTTTATGCTATATTAATTTTGAGATTGAAATGCTACCTTTTTTTTTTTTTCAACGGCAAGTATATTAATAACTTAAAAACTCAAAAAGAATACATATCGAAGTGCTAACTGACACTACTGAAACCAGAAAAACTAGACCAACCCCCTTGGATTCACACACGTGGTCAAGGGGTACAAACTCCATTAAAGGGACCTAACCGCAAAAACAAAACTCCATAAGGGAGACACTAACTCCAAAGCGGAGACTAACAACCAAACGGCGCTGGACTAAAAGAAAAAAAAAAACAACATAAAAAGATAAATAACAACTCACACCTAATAAACAAATGCAATAAAACCTCCCCTAAACCTAGCAGACGAACCCCACAACCACATAGACCAACTATCGAGTCACACCCACAACAAAGAACACCAACCGAGCAACAAGAACTAAGCTCCAAACCCGAAAACTGCGGCACTCAACCCGCCTAGACAGATTTTCGACCCAGATCTGGACTCCGAAGTACTTCAATGTTTGGGATAGTAAGGGAGACCGCAAGAACTTGCCGGAGGACTTGAGACAAAAACCCAAAGAGAGCACCCACGATAGACCCGCATTCGAAATAGCACGGCCCTGCAAGCCGGGAATCAGGCGTACCGGCGGCCAGTCGGGGCAGCCGAGCAACGGCACCCTCCAAGGAACTGAACTGAGGCACACGAGTACGGAACTCCAGCGGCAAGACGGCTCCCTCGGCTGGAGCTAGAGACGGCGGCCGGCAACCCCTCCGGTGCCCGGGAAGACAAGGCGGTGACATCCACTTTCGGCCCAATCAAACCCGAAACTGGGAGGGGTGGAAAGTAGTCCTCAGCCGCAACTCGACCAAGGCCAACCCGGTGGCTGCAGAGGGCGACTCGCCGGAAGAGGGGGGCGGCAGCGCTGCTCAAATTAGGTTTTTTTGAAGAAGGGGGAAAAGGGACAGAGAAAAGGGAGAGCACAATTATTACAGTAGATTGAGATGCTACCTTACTATACAATTCTACTAACTCACTCGAGATTGCACTAAACACAAGACAAAGTTCACAATTTCTTGTTATCCTATGGTATGTAATCTTGGATAAAATATAAATTGCACTTATTACATTGTCTTTGACATGCTAGCTCAGCACACAATTGTTATAATTTATATCATGGACCAATACGTATATTGTATGGTCTCAACAAACAATTGTTATATAATGAACATGATGATGCGCATTGCCAGATGGATCCTGCAAACTGATTTAAATTTCACAGTAACAATAAATTCACCGCTAAATATAAATCACATAACAAATCATTACCATCAATATACTTCAGGGGTTGTTATCGAACTGAACGTTCGCGAACGAAAGCTCGTTCGAGTTCGTTCATGTTCGATAATCGCTCGTTTGTTTGGTAGTCGATCCAAGCTTGAACATAGAATTCTGCTTGTTTAGTTATCGAACGAACACGAACAAGTTTGCGAACTAAATGAGCATTGGCAAAAGAAGGGTTATTTAATAATTATATATATATATATATATATTATATATTATATATGATGTAAGAAATTTGAGTGCAAATAAATGAATGTGGGGTTTCCCTTTTGAGAAAAGAGTGTTAATAAACACCGCACTCAATTTTACTAATCACCGTACCTAAAAAATACTCTTTTGCCCTTATTAAAAAATAATAATAATAAATTTAATTTTTAATTTTTTTTTAACATTAAAAAAAATTATAATTCTTAGAAAATGATGAATTCTCCCAATCAAAAAAATCACTCTAACACAAAAACCGAAAAAAAATGCATAAAAGAAAAACACCAAAAATTCGAACAAAATTCGAAAAAAAATCCGAAAAAATAGCGGGACAATCTTCACGCACCGGGAAAGAACTCTCTAATTCACAAATAATTTTTTTTTTTATATTTTTAACGATTTTTTTTTCTAAAAAAAATCTATTGGC